ACCCAATTGATATTTGGGGCCCAATGGGGCGGCCCCTATTGGCCCCAAATTTCAATTGGGTCCCGTGGGCCCCAGGTGGGCCCCATCGAAAAATGTTACTTGGGTTTTTTCTTTGGGAAATTACGCTCTTTGCAATGATGTGCATATTGTCGGGGTTGGTCGCGAAATTAGGGGCAATACTTAGAAAGGGCCTCTTTGGGGCCCTCTTTGGGCCCCTTCTTTTGGATTCCCCGGTAGGTTTCTTCAGCCAGATTGAAGAGGGGGCCCAGGAGAGTGTCTGTGCAAATTTTGAAGAAAATCGTAGGGGCCGCCCCATTGGGCCCCAAATTTCAATTTGGTCCTGTGGGCCATAGGTGGGCCCCATCGAAAAATGTTACTTGGGTTTTTTGTTTGGGAAATTACGCTCTTTCCAATGATGTGCATATTGCCGGGGTTGGTCGCGAAATTAGGGGCAATACTTAGAAAGGGCCTCTTTGGGGCCCTCTTTGGGCCCCTTCCTTTGGATTCCCCGGTAGGTTTCTTCAGCCAGATTGAAGAGGGGGCCCAGGAGAGTGTCTGTGCAAATTTTGAAGAAAATCGTAGGGGCCGCCCTATTGGGCCCCAAATTTCAATTGGGTCCTGTGGGACCCAGGTGGGCCCCATCGAAAAAATGTTACTTGGGTTTTTTGTTTGGGAAATTACGCTCTTTCCAATGATGTGCATATTGCCGGGGTTGGTCGCGAAATTAGGGGCAATACTTAGAAAGGGCCTCTTTGGGGCCCTCTTTGGGCCTCTTCCTTTGGATTCCCCGGTAGGTTTCTTCAGCCAGATTGAAGAGGGGGCCCAGGAGAGTGTCTGTGCAAATTTTGAAGAAAATCGTAGGGGCCGCCCCATTGGGCCCCAAATTTCAATTGGGTCCCGTGGGCCCCAGGTGGGCCCCATCGAAAAATGTTACTTGGGTTTTTTGTTTGGGAAATTACGCTCTTTGCAATGATGTGCATATTGCCGGGGTTGGTCGCGAAATTAGGGGCAATACTTAGAAAGGGCCTCTTTGGGGCCCTCTTTGGGCCCCTTCCTTTGGATTCCCCGGTAGGTTTCTTCAGCCAGATTGAAGAGGGGGCCCAGGAGAGTGTCTGTGCAAATTTTGAAGAAAATCGTAGGGGCCGCCCCATGGGGCCCCAAATTTCAATTTGGTCCCGTGGGCCCCAGGTGGGCCCCATTGAAAAATGTTACTTGGGTTTTTTGTTTGGGAAATTACGCTCTTTCCAATGATGTGCATATTGCCGGGGTTCGCGAAATTAGGGGCAATACTTAGAAAGGGCCTCTTTGGGGCCCTCTTTGGGCCCCTTCCTTTGGATTCCCCGGTAGGTTTCTTCAGCCAGATTGAAGAGGGGGCCCAGGAGAGTGTCTGTGCAAATTTTGAAGAAAATCGTAGGGGCCGCCCTATTGGGCCCCAAATTTCAATTGGGTCCTGTGGGACCCAGGTGGGCCCCATCGAAAAATGTTACTTGGGTTTTTTGTTTGGGAAATTACGCTCTTTCCAATGATGTGCATATTGCCGGGGTTGGTCGCGAAATTAGGGGCAATACTTAGAAAGGGCCTCTTTGGGGCCCTCTTTGGGCCCCTTCCTTTGGATTCCCCGGTAGGTTTCTTCAGCCAGATTGAAGAGGGGGCCCAGGAGAGTGTCTGTGCAAATTTTGAAGAAAATCGTAGGGGCCGCCCCATTGGGCCCCAAATTTCAATTGGGTCCCGTGGGCCTCAGGTGGGCCCCATCGAAAAATGTTACTTGGGGTTTTTGTTTGGGAAATTACGCTCTTTCCAATGATGTGCATATTGCCGGGGTTGGTCGCGAAATTAGGGGCAATACTTAGAAAGGGCCTCTTTGGGGCCCTTTTTGGGCCCCTTCCTTTGCATTCCCCGGTAGGTTTCTTCAGCCAGATTGAAGAGGGGGCCCAGGAGAGTGTCTGTGCAAATTTTGAAGAAAATCGTAGGGGCCGCCCCATTGGGCCCCAAATTTCAATTGGGTCCTGTGGGCCCCAGGTGGGCCCCATCGAAAAATGTTACTTGGGTTTTTTGTTTGGGAAATTACGCTCTTTCCAATGATGTGCATATTGCCGGGGTTGGTCGCGAAATTAGGGGCAATACTTAGAAAGGGCCTCTTTGGGGCCCTCTTTGGGCCCCTTCCTTTGGATTCCCCGGTTGGTTTCTTCAGCCAGATTGAAGAGGGGGCCCAGGAGAGTGTCTGTGCAAATTTTGAAGAAAATCGTAGGGGCCGCCCCATTGGGCCCCAAATTTCAATTGGGTCCTGTGGGCCCCAGGTGGGCCCCATCGAAAAATGTTACTTGGGTTTTTTGTTTGGGAAATTACGCTCTTTCCAATGATGTGCATATTGCCGGGGTTGGTCGCGAAATTAGGGGCAATACTTAGAAAGGGCCTCTTTGGGGCCCTCTTTGGGCCCCTTCCTTTGGATTCCCTGGTAGGTTTCTTCAGCCAGATTGAAGAGGGGGCCCAGGAGAGTGTCTGTGCAAATTTTGAAGAAAATCGTAGGGGCCGCCCCTTTGGGCCCCAAATTTCAATTGGGTCCCGTGGGCCCCAGGTGGGCCCCATCGAAAAATGTTACTTGGGTTTTTTGTTTGGGAAATTACGCTCTTTCCAATGATGTGCATATTGCCGGGGTTGGTCGCGAAATTAGGGGCAATACTTAGAAAGGGCCTCTTTGGGGCCCTCTTTGGGCCCCTTCCTTTGGATTCCCCGGTAGGTTTCTTCAGCCAGATTGAAGAGGGGGCCCAGGAGAGTGTCTGTGCAAATTTTGAAGAAAATCGTAGGGGCCGCCCCATTGGGCCCCAAATTTCAATTGGGTCCTGTGGGCCCCAGGTGGGCCCCATCGAAAAATGTTACTTGGGTTTTTGTTTGGGAAATTACGCTCTTTCCAATGATGTGCATATTGCCGGGGTTGGTCGCGAAATTAGGGGCAATACTTAGAAAGGGCCTCTTTGGGGCCCTCTTTGGGCCCCTTCCTTTGGATTCCCCGGTAGGTTTCTTCAGCCAGATTGAAGAGGGGGCCCAGGAGAGTGTCTGTGCAAATTTTGAAGAAAATCGTAGGGGCCGCCTTATTGGGCCCCAAATTTCAATTGGGTCCCGTGGGCCCCAGGTGGGCCCCATCGAAAAATGTTACTTGGGTTTTTTGTTTGGGAAATTACGCTCTTTCCAATGATGTGCATATTGCCGGGGTTGGTCGCGAAATTAGGGGCAATACTTAGAAAGGGCCTCTTTGGGGCCCTCTTTGGGCCCCTTCCTTTGGATTCCCCGGTAGGTTTCTTCAGCCAGATTGAAGAGGGGGCCCAGGAGAGTGTCTGTGCAAATTTTGAAGAAAATCGTAGGGGCCGCCCCATTGGGCCCCAAATTTCAATTGGGTCCCGTGGGCCCCAGGTGGGCCCCATCGAAAAATGTTACTTGGGTTTTTTGTTTGGGAAATTACGCTCTTTCCAATGATGTGCATATTGCCGGGGTTGGTCGCGAAATTAGGGGCAATACTTAGAAAGGGCCTCTTTGGGGCCCTTTTTGGGCCCCTTCCTTTGGATTCCCCGGTAGGTTTCTTCAGCCAGATTGAAGAGGGGGCCCAGGAGAGTGTCTGTGCAAATTTTGAAGAAAATCGTAGGGGCCGCCCTATTGGGCCCCAAATTTCAATTGGGTCCTGTGGGACCCAGGTGGGCCCCATCGAAAAATGTTACTTGGGTTTTTTGTTTGGGAAATTACGCTCTTTCCAATGATGTGCATATTGCCGGGGTTGGTCGCGAAATTAGGGGCAATACTTAGAAAGGGCCTCTTTGGGGCCCTCTTTGGGCCCCTTCCTTTGGATTCCCCGGTAGGTTTCTTCAGCCAGATTGAAGAGGGGTCCCAGGAGAGTGTCTGTGCAAATTTTGAAGAAAATCGTAGGGGCCGCCCCATTGGGCCCCAAATTTCAATTGGGTCCCGTGGGCCCCAGGTGGGCCCCATCGAAAAATGTTACTTGGGTTTTTTGTTTGGGAAATTACGCTCTTTCCAATGATGTGCATATTGCTGGATTTTGTCGATGTTATAGGCCTGAATTTGTTGAAAACGTTTATTTATGCCCCGAGGGCATACTCCCGGGCCCATATATTTGAAGCTGTTTTGTTCGGTTCAGGGGGGCGCTAGCCCCCTAAATTTGGTACCGTTGCACGTAAAATTTTGTCCTCTTTCGAATGACGTGCATTTTTAGCTGTTTTGACGGCTAGAAGTAGGGTTTTCAAAGTTCGTCGATTGTGCCCTGAGGGCATACTGTTTTTTGGGATTTGTGGCCCCCCTGATGGATTCCCCGCATTTTGGCACTTGGATTTTCGATAGAGGACACCATTCTGCACCTCTCCACCAAAATTCAGCGAAATCGTAGGGGCCGTCGATCCCTGCTGAATCCCTGCTGAACCCCTGCTGAATCCCTGCTAACTTCCGTTACATCATACCTATAACCTACCAACCTACAACCTACAAACCTACCCTAACCTAACCTAACCTACAAACCTACCTACCTACAACCTAAAACCTACAAACCTACAACCTAACCTAACCTAAAACCTAAAATTTTTGCTGTTTCATATTCGTATCAAAAGCGCCACAATTGTAGTTAGGACCTAAACTTGACATATACCGAGGCGGGTACCTGGAAACCTACCTGCAAATCATTAGTCTTTAATAAGCGAACAGCACAGCCTACAAAACGCTCATAAAAAAGATGGCAAAAATGCAAAGATAATGCCAGCATGCTGATAGATCAAGATAATTCAAGTTAAGTGCAAAATTACGACCAAATGAAAAAAAGAAACAGAAGACATTATTTAGCACTGTTGCAAGCAAAGCCCGAGTAATATTTATCTGATTTAAGAGTACTATTCTAAGATTATCTCTGAGTCGATTTGGACACGTGAAACGATTAATTAATATTCAAACAGGGCATGGGGAAACAATGCGGCGAACGTTTATGCAAGAACGTGGTCATTTCGTACCCATCATTCAGCCGAGGAAGTTTCCTAGCATGCATCACCATCAATGCCAGGTTATTTCATCGAGTTAATTACAGAAAATAAGTTGAAAACATTGATAAACCATACATGAAACGCTTGAATATCTAAACACAGACGCGCGTTATCCACTGCCGAACTCATTCGCCATTGCTCATCCGGGAACTCCGCTAAGCTCCGCCCCCAAATCCGACTTCACAGCGTTCTTGACGATCAGCTGATCGGTGAAATGCGCTGCTAAATTGTTGGGCGTGGAAGAGAACGATGCAGACTGATGATTCACAAAGTGTTTCTCTCAGAATTAGGATTTATGGAGTTAAGTGGACCATTGATTTGCTTCACTTTGTGATTTGAAAGGTTTCCATACCTGCTTTTTTGTTGTAAACTAAGGTATGGGTGAGTGATTGCCCAAAACTTGTTGCTCTTTTTAGGCTTAGCTAAGCAATAGCAATCTTTAGCCATTCAGCAACTGTAGGGTTAAAATATCAAGAGTCTGTTACACAGGTTCAAGAGACACAGCAAGTACTGTTCAGTGCTGGTCAGTATTGATACAGCTCCATTTGGAAGCAACGGTGCGCTGCACACTGCACGGTGGTACAGGTCAGCCATCTGGATGATCACAATCCAGCACGTGGCGCCACCGCGTCAACAGCTGTGCTCGCAGCTGAACAACAGTGAATACTGAACAGCTAGTCAAAGGCCTGCACTTATCCCTGTTGGCAGTTTGCCTGCTACACTAATGCCTCCTCCAGGCATTCCAAGTAGCCGCATACGACAGACTTTCACTAATACCAGACTTTATTTTGAATGCGGCGATTCAAGGCGGCGCCAAGGCCCTCTGTAGGTACAGCCAATCGAGTGTGTTCAGGCATAGTATTGTTACGGTAACGTCTCTCTGGGATGTTATTGCCAGTGCCGAGATTGGAGTTGTGCGCTCGCCCGTCGGTTGGCGCCGCGGCAGTCTCGTCCTGCTAACAATAATTTACTACGCGGCGCAGACGGGCGGCGGCGGCGCCGGGCCTGCCTCGGGGCACCGTCGGGTCATCACAGCAGTCACACGCGCCGCGCACGGCGTTACGCAGCCGTCACGGAGTACGGGTGCGGCAGATTCGCGTCACAGGTCGAGTCCACACAGTCGGCAGCCGGCGGGCGTACCTACAATTTACAAACGGCGTCCCTCCCGCCGACCGGGCACTGGACTCTGTACAGCCCGCCTGGCCACTGCAGACAGCCGAGCGCGGCCACGGAGGGGATCCCACGACACGAGTCTGTTCGGCCGTCCCAGCGGGGCACCTGGCCAGTGGAAAACACGCACACGGTAAAAGACACACCACTCCGCTAAAAGAGCGCCGACGACGCTTCGTTCACGCCTCACCAGTTCACAGTTCACACGATATCCGCACACAATGGCCATTTGCGCGCGAAATAAAACGCAGACACTCGCACAGTATCGTATGCGGAGCAGCGCCGGAAGTCTTGCGCGCAATCCAACGCACTGCGCATTGAGTACACCGTATTCGATCGTGCGCCGGGTGCCGGGGCCGGCAGTCGCCTCCACTTGAGCTACATTTGCGCTAACGTCGTCTTCACGATACACTCTCGGCGACAAAGTGTAAAAGACGACCACGCTGTCAAGACGGGACGAATAAGTACGACACACCGGGCCTTTCAGTTTACTTCACAACCCACACGCTCGTCGCACGGGATCGGAGAGGCCGGACGTCGGTCGGACAACTGGAGGAGTAGCTCGGCTGAGGCGGTCGGCGCGCCCGCCGCCGGCTGACTAGACGCTGCCTGCGGCGGCGGCGGCGGCGGCAGGGGGCAGGGGGCGGCCGGCCCTCAGTCAATGTCGCTGTCGTCGTCGTCCAGGTCGCTTTCGGACGAGTCTCGCGACCCGTAGCGGCGAGCGCGCGAGGCGGCCACCGCCGCCAGGTCGGCGGCCGTGCGCTCCTTGCGGAACTCGTTCACCAGGGGGAAGATGTGCTCGATGGCGCGCTGAACGGCCGCCACCGACGGCGCTGGAGGCAGAGACCGGGGGGGGGGGGTCAGGTCAGGTCAGCAGGTGGTGGACGGGGTCAAATCGTCAGCTGACGTGTGTGAGTGGTGTGCGTGTGTGTGTGGGGGGGGGGGAGGGGGCAAGCAATAGTTGATAACATGAGCTGCATGATCCAGCTAGTCCCAGTATGGTCAAGTCAATGGTCCTGGCTCATGGCATACAATAGAATCGTTTTGTGTTTAGCATAGTGCAGTCGTAGCACAACACGCTAATTATGCATCCTGTCAGAATGGCATGGGGGAATGGCACCATGTGACGACGAGAGCTCTCGTCTATTCAATAACAAAAAAGCACACGACTCGGAGCAGTGTACTCCGATCAAAAAGAAAAATACCGCTGGAATAAATTTTTATGAATCGCTCCTAAACGGAACAAAAACAATGGCCTGACTTCGTACCGCTCAACTCGTCTCTGTTAACACATCTCAGGAATGGCGATAACAGTGGAAAAAGGCGGTTCAGAGTTCCACACATATTTTCGACAGAATCACAAATATCTCTAAGTCAACACACGTGACTGGACTTGGCACCGCTGCACCGACCCCAGAACTCACGAGTCACTCCCGGCATCACATGCCATGCCGAGTCGTCTCCGGGACACTCTCCCTGTCGCTGAGGGCTAGGCCACACTGGCGAAAAGTACCGCTATACGGCGGTGCTCGCGTGAGCCGGCGGCGGCGGCTCTGAGGGGCGCGCCGCCGCCGCCGGCGCCGCGGGGTGACTGCACCCGTTCTCGGCACCGCTGCCGGGGCGGCCCTCAGCGCCGCGAGATAGCCGTACCGGTGGCCCGGCTGCAGACAGCGCCAGCGGTGGCGGCGCGGGCAATGATATACACACACCTGGCGGCGCGCTGCACGGGCCACTGACCCTGGCCGGCTGAGGACGCCGCTCAGAGGCAGACGGAGGACCGGCGGCCGAACGACGGCGGCGCTCCGTGACGGGTGCCGTGACAAGCAATAGTGAGGGGTTTATAGCAGCGCTAGCTCCGATGGTGTACCTTTGGGCAGCAGTTGGGTTAACTTGGTACGTACGCTGGGAGCTCGTCTATGCATACGCTGATGACTGAAAACTGAACAGCCGCCCTTGGCACATGCGTTCCATGAACAGTAGGTCGTTGATAGATCATATCAACAGCAGTGCATCCGTACGTACTGCGTAGCATACACTTCAGTCGCCGTCAAGTACCGATCGGTGCGACAATCCACGGCACGCAACGCAACGCAAGTACGCGTTCCTGTCCCCAACAAACGTTTTTGACAGGGGTGCACAGGGTCCGTCGAGCTCACAGTCAGCCTTCACACAATTCCTCCGTAAATCGTCATCTCCTCTCTGAGGACCAAGACCGTTCTCCGACCGTTCCGTTTCTCTGTGACTGATCTCACTACCCTCACATATCCTGATATCCTGACAAGGCCGACGTACCGACTGCCATCGCCTGTCTGCCTGTCTCCGGCAGATCAAATACCAAACTAAGGCTGGTTCCCGAAAGGCTGACGGAGGCGCGGCCGACGGACATACCACCACAAACAGTGCAAACAAACAAATGGTGACGTCATCGAGCGTGCTGCAGCGATGCCGTCCGGAAAGTCGATGAGCGAAGAAGCAGACAAGAGCCACTCCCTAATCTGTATACGGCATGAGTTTGACATACGCGACAGGCTAGCAGTGGTATAATTCATGATCGTGGCATTTGTGTTGACACTTTGCTCGACACAGCATGAGTGCTGCGTGCATGAGTTATGGTTCACACCTCACACTCTATTACGTAAGTGTTCGATTTCCAATTGCGGTGCTGATTTCCCAAACGTGCCAGTCTGGCCGCAGCGGCTCAATGCACGCGAGGGTGTCGCGTAAAATATGCATCCGTCGTGCGAGTCGTAATTGGTATGAAACTCCGGTGTCACGGTGACAATTAGCTATTGTCCGCCACCACACTGACCGCGCCGAAGAGATCCGGTCAGTCACGATGACTCGATTTCGTGATTATGTCCCGTGCACGGCTATATTTCGTGTTTAAACACCGAGTGTCAGGACAGCTCCGGTCTCAACAATTGGTATGTGATCTATCAGGGCAGGCTAATTGGTGACCAGGCAGGAGGCGATGCATATCATTCGGCCATGAAAGTGTCGGCAGCCTGACCCTTGATCTATCACATATCATTCCACAATGACTTGGCATTACCTGAATCGGTCATGACTAATGATCTTCACCGTTATAAAGTGAGCGATTAACATAGCTCTTGAGCTCGGCATTAGAGTAGAGTTTGTTGGCACTATTCGAGGCAGTGAAAGGCTGGCACTGTGCTACTAAGGCCAGCTTACCTGTGAATCGAATTTCGAGCGCTCGTTTTTGGTCATCTAGCCTCTGAATGGGTTACCTCTCCTGTGACTGTGACAGCCGACTGTGAATTGTATTTAGTGTGACCGTGGGTGTCGAGACTGAGACGTGAGTGTTCTCGCCTGTGATATTTATCTCAGCCATGACAGTGCGAGTCGGTACTTGAGCCACTTACCACACCCCAACTGTGAGAGCCGTCTATGATGATACACTTCCACTGGGACTGTGAGAGCTGTCTCAGTTTTCTCACCTGTGACTGTGAGAGCCGTCTGTGACTTTTCTCACCTGTGACAGTGATACTGCCGGTGGAGAACACCTTGAGCGTCGCCTTGAACTCCTTGATTCGGAATGTGACGCCCGGGTGCAGCTCCGGCTCATAGCTGCCGACACGGATCGGCCGCTTGTGTCAGACGGAAGACGTGACACGAGGATGGAACCGGCCCGGCGGACCGGCCGGGAGGGAGGGAGAGGGGGAGGAAGGGAGGGAGGGAGGGTGAGGGAGGAAGGGAGGAAGGAGCGGCACGGCGGGTGGGATAGAGACGGGGGCGAGGATAGGGGGAAGATAGGGGACTGAAAACGAGGATGGAGGTGAACGGAATCGGAGAGTAGGATTGGACGAAGGCCTGAATAGATAGGAGAAATAGTGCATGATTGGCGGATAGACGCGGATTAGATGGAAGATGATATGGGAAATACGCCGAGAAGGGAAATGTGATGGGGAAGAGACAGTAAGATACATCAGAAAACAACGAAAAACAATGCTACACAGCGTGACAAAATGCAA